AAAAAGTGGAATCTGTTTGTGCCCGCGGGTACACTTAAATTAAGTTTTGAGTTTATTTTTGTAATGGTTAATGAGGAGCACTCGCAGGACTTAACCTAATGCACGTATACGCCCTTATTTTGTCTTAGTCTGTCTGCGCTTCGATGTCCTCCAGGTTTTGAGTGCCCTTTGAGGTATGGTGAAACAAAGTATGCACCCCTTCTAACCTTTACAAACTCACAGTCCAGAGTGCGGTCGTCATAGCCAAACAAGTTGGAAAAGCGTTCAAAACACGCGCCATACTTAAGAACACTGAATATGGCACCGGCCATGAGCCCGGAATGGCCTTTACACCTTTTCAGCGCTTCCTATCAATATTATGACAAGAACTGCTGAGTCACTGGACGCACGCGCGACGTCAGAATAGAGAATAATCGCGTTCACGTAACCTCTAATGTGTGATGGAAAACTCATACTGATCTCGTTATCGCTAACGCTAATTCTATGCTTGCGTATCTGAAACGATATTTTACCTCAGCCCCCACGTAATATAAGACTAAATCTGCATAAAACTCAAATTCGCTCAAAGCTTGAGCATGCACTATCAACCTATAGTACCACGGCCACAGGACACCGGTGACTAACCTCGAAGCTCGGCAAAATGGCGGCGCACGTTTTACGTGTTGTATTGTCACACCGCTAGTGTCTCGTCCATGAAAACCACAACACCTTCATCTCCTTTTCTTGCGTCGTAAAATATCTTGTTTATATCTTTTCTACAAAATGTATAATTCTAGAGCTTCGCTAAAAAGTAAATTCTCCCTTGACCCCTCATACATTGTTGCGCGAGTTGATCATTATTTTTACAGTCGGTATACCTCATTGTCAAATGCCAGCATACAAAGACTCATTCATTTCAAGCACGTCATCCCCTTGTAACCTGCTTCCAACACCTCTTTGGTAAACGTTCCATCACTTGAACTACTTAAAGAGGCGTTAACTAACGGCACCTTGCTAACACGTTGGACTTAAAATTTTCTAACAAAATTGCTTATTTTCTTTTTATTCTTGTTGTATCAAATTTTTTTCTGTGTAAATTTTAATGCCCTCACGCTCTCTAATTCCCTACGGGCCCTGAGGGTATTGAAATAAATAAATATAAATAAAAATTTAACAGGCGACCTTTACCTCCAATGTTCAACGCATGAAATGCATTATAGAAAATTGGTGACGGAATTCGTGTGTCACGTGACGTATATTTTCCCGCTAAATTTAGCGGGGAAACGAAATGGTTGTTTAGGTAACGTTACATCGACTTCGCCCGCTAGATCTAGCGCGGAAACTGAATTGGTGTTGAGGTCGGAAGGCTTTAATTTTCCTGCTAAATTTAGCGGGTAACTGAATAGACCGATCTAACCAGAGTACGCCACCGCTGCCACAATGCTTCGAGGGAACTTCTAGTCTTTCTGCACATGCGACAACCTCGCTGGAGCTCGGCGCGTGTCGTTCACAGGACGGCACGATCTCTTTCGTGCAGTGTCGTCTGCTTCCTGTGAACTAATGTTGTGGCGGCGTCAAGCATTCGCCAAAAGCTTGGTGAGATCGGTCTATTGGTGTATAGGTCAGGTAACGCCCATTTCCCGCTAAATTTAGCGCAGAAACTAAAGTGATGTTTTGGCCAGAAAATGTGAATTGTTCCGCGAAAAATAACGAGAAAATTGAATTGATGTTTACGTCACGTGCCATCAGTTTCCCCAAGGTCTATAGGTCACGTGACGTTGAGTGACGTTACGTGATGTCACTTTCCGGCCAAATTTAGCGGGGAAACTGAATTGGTGTATAGATGACGTGACGTCAATTTTTTCGTTAAAGTTAGCGGGAAAACTGAATTTTTCTGCTTGTCCCGTGACGTCAGGTCACCGGACATCAATTTTCCCGCTAAATTTAGCTGATAAATTAATTTCCTGTATAGTTTTCGGGATATCAATTTTCCCGCTAAACTTAGCGGGAAATGCACGGACGGACAATGCTTTGGGAGTGGGAGTAGCGTTAAATACAGGAAGGTCCATTGGTGGATTCTTAGGGAATGAGTCAGCATGACTCTTGGGAAACGCCACACACGTCCCCTTTTGGAAACTGCTAACGCGGACTCCTTCACTTTTTCTGTTTTGGCTTTCTCTTTTGCTTCCTCTATTTTTTGCTGCATCTTTGTTGCCTCGTTACGGGGTCAGTGGTAGCGTTTCCCACAAGGGGGCGTGTGTGGCGTTTCCCAAGTGTCATGCTAACGGATTCCCTAAGAATCCACCAATGAACCTTCCTGTAATTTTTTCACCCCCTTTCTGTACTCTGCCTGTCAGAGTACGTCGACGCCCTTGGATACGGTCATCCACATCACTCGTGGAGTGAACCGCATTTCTCGATTTAACTACACCTGCACAACACACCCCACTCACCGCTACTACGGAAACCTAGAGCGAAGAACAACCGGCGACGGCAGAGCGGTAACTGAGCCAACACTTCCTAGATAAGAAAGCCCAAGTGCTGAATTCTCCTGAGTCACTAAAGAAGGCCGCCGCACCACAGATTGGAGACGTGTGCTGCTTTAGCGTTCGTTTGTAATATGTGTCGAATCAGTGAGAACACGACTCCTTGCCGAACGCTGATGCCGTAGTTGTGTCCAGTCTGTGGCCAACGATGGCCTTGTTTAGTGGCGCAGGAAAATTCAGCACGGCTTTCTTACCAAAGTGTTGACTGAGCACGCCCGCATTCTATCGCGCCGCGGTGCGTCCTCGTTTCTGGCTCCGCGCCAGCTGTGAGCGTGACCTTGACGAAAACCCGGTGGCGTCTGTCAGTTTGTCAGCGCCGGGGAGAGTCAGCGCCGGGGAGAGCCAATGGAAGCGTAGCACGCGTCCCCTTCTTCCATGCGTTCTCCCTCTCTCCCCGGCGCTGACAAATGAAAGACACGGCCGGGCTTTCGTCAAAACGAGCGTTCCAAGGGTAACGAATTAAAAGCATTTCATGCCTTAATAAGTTCGCTCGCTTAGAACCCGTTCCACAGCCGAGCTGACAAACATGGCAGCGCGCGGAAGGAGATTATTGGAATGGTCTGTCGCAGGGATGCTCAGACGGACATACGCAAAAAGCGTAAAAAAGAGCATATTTAACTGAAAAGCCGCAATGAAAAAAAGGGCGTAGCAGTCCGCCAGAACACAAGCTATTCATTTTTTTGTTAAATACTTATCTTTTTTTTTTCTTTTAGTCTGGCTGGGGGTGGGGTGAAGGGGTGTATGTTTATCGTATAGCCGTGAGTCGCACTTTGACCTGAGGAGACCCGCTGTTAGGCGAACTTTGGTCTAGAAAGTGCTGTATTTCGTTATCCGTCTTCTTTGCATGCTTTTTCCGTTGTCTATACGTTGTTGTACTTTCCTCCCCGTGTTCGCTCGATGCGAAAACAGAAAGGCAGATCACAGCTGCGTCTTCCAACAAGTTGCTCAAGTTTCAGTGCGGGTACATCGGTCCCCCGTCGTGAGGGAAAAGAACAAAAAAAGACACAGGTCAGCGCACTTTGTCAGGCGGTTGACTCCTTGTATACTTATACACAAAGCACACAGACACACACACACACACTCCCGCAATAGGGAGCGCCCGCACGGTCTCCGAGCGCGCGAAACTTCGCGCGGCGCGGAGCGTGCATCTCTCTCGATTAATTTGGAAAGCGCCGCTCGCTGGAAAGGTTAAAAAGAGCCGCTGACAATACGTGGGAGGTCTAATTAATGAGCGTCGTCGTCGTCGCTGTGAGGATCCCGATGAGATGCACTCGGGGAAGGAAGAGAGATTTAATTAAAAACCGGCGGGGAGCTACACTCCACCCTCCCACGAAGGTGGCAGTGTGGTGGATATACTACCTGCTCGTTGTACCAGTCCTACATCTATTTTTCCCCGTGTGATTACCGCGCGGGCCACACCCGCACGCGCAACAAGCGAGGTCACGTGATAAAAAGGAGGCTGCTGATTGGTCCGGCGGGCGCGTATAGCTCCATTGCGCTGTCGTTTGGGGGGCGAAAGGAGTGTAGGATATCAGCAACTCCGCTGATTGAAGGCGGGGAGTTTGGTGGCGGCAAACTCGCCTCCCCAAACCTTTTCGGAGGAATTGAGAAAGATTGAGAGGGGTAGGGGTGGACGCTTGATCTTGCAACGACGGCAGTTCGAGTGAATTATCGTGAGGTTCGCGCTTGGGCTCGTCGGAAGCTTTCGGAAGTTACACACGCTCGTTTGAACAACCTTTCGTTTACCCATCCTAACCATCTTGCTTTCTCACCTTCCTATCACCCCCCCCCCCCCCCCCCCCCCTCAAGCGCCCCCTTCTCCAAATATCTGTCTAACCCCTTCCAGTGCGAAGGCGTGGCTTGGTGTGTTCTTGTTCGCGTTGAAGCGCTGTAGACGTAATCCGTGGTAGTCACACTCTATCAGATCTGGAACGCTTATTTTCTCACAAAGCACACGGAAGGGTCAATGCGAAGAGCAAGTTCGTCTGCTTCTTTTGCGAATGTGCTCGTGACGTCAGAACGCCAAGCTCTATTTGTCTCCGATTGAAGGATAGTGGGTAGACGTCAAGGCAGCTTGCTTTGAGGCCTACCCACTATCCTTCAATCAGAGCCAATCAGAGCTCGACGTCTGTCTGACGTCACCACAACCGCTGCAAAGGAAGCAGACGAACTTGCGCTCCCCACTGCTTCAATCAGATGATGAGATTCAAAACATGTTTAGATCTTTAAGAACCCTCTGCGCTGCGGCAGCACTGAGCAAGTTAAAATGTGACGCTGGATGCCACTACGCGTCTGCGCAGGTCTAAACATAATTGCAGTCTCTTTATTCACTGAGCCCAGGCATCCGTGGATTGCAGGGATTGACAAGTGCTTTGCGGGAAAAGAGGACGCCCCGGATTTCTTAGAGTGTACATTAGGCCCTGAAACGTGGAGACGAAGTGGGCAGCTGATTCCTTCTCGCTCGGTTTATCTCAGTGAACGTGGACGAGTTCCTCAACTCCCTGGACATCGACTCCCTCCAGATCGAGGACCTGAGCCGGAAAGGCAGCACCGCGTCGCGGGGAAGTCGGAAGAGCTCGCGATCGGACGTAAGCCTTTCCATCGTATCTTTCTTTATTTCTTCCTTGTTTGTAGGAATTATTTCTCTCGAGACCTTTGCAGCAAAACGAAAGAGGGGTTAGAAGGAAAATTACAGCTTCCTCGGGTCTAAGCCTCTCAGGGAAATGTCATCTGCTATTCTAAAACTTCCAAAAACTCCTCTTTTTTTGTTTCGTTTTGTAAGTTGTTTAATTTTTTGGTTACTAGAAGAAAGTGTTAGTGACGTTATGCGAGTCTAACCCGAAATTAAATAATTCCTGATTCCCTGTCGCGTCGGGCATATGAACCGAAGCGACAGCCGAGGCGACGCACACCCTGCTGTGCACGGGCAGTGCACTCTTACACTGCACACTAACCATGACTTTCGTGTACCGTCATGACATCACGTGACGTCATAGTCTCGCGTAACGTCACAATGTCACGTGATGCTACGTCACAATGTCAGGTGACACCGTGGCGTTGAGCGTATATAAATTTTCCGGTCACGACGACCCTACAGGGAATTCGCTGCGAAACCTCACCAATGACCACTGTCGCCTTAGAAAAAAAATATGAAATAAAGGGTTCTTGATTATCAGTTACAAAGACAATGTCGATAAATCGAATATATGGAGAGTTTCGGGGATACCGCAGCCGTTTGTAGCGGAACTACGGTGCCTCGGACATAACCCCGACCGATGTGTTTAGCTTCCCATAGTGCCCGTGTCTAGTCTATAGACTCGACTGCGTTTCCCCAACTGCTTAGTCGGGGTCACATCACGTGGTTTTCGGGCACCATTAATTGCCAACTCTTGACCAAACAAAATCTACTCGCGATATTCTTCGTACAAAAATTAGAATTAGTCCTTCTAAAAAAAAAAAAAAAAGACAACAAAAAAACATATGTATTCAAACCCCGTAATACCATTGAAAGATTCTTATGACTTAAAATCTTGAAATTAAAAAAAAAAGATTAATCGGTGAACTTTTTGGTTGTGATAGTTCAAGACAGTGTGTCATATATCTTGTTCATATATTATACACATAAAACACGCAATATTCTTGACTGCATGTTAGGCTCTACGCATGTTTAATTAGAACATCCCTAATTGCAAAAATTGTTAGAGTGAGTAAAAAAAAAAAAATCAAATATATTTATGGGCCTTCTGACAGGCAAGACAAGGAGACCACCAACTATGGTCAACCAAATATCAATTTGAGCTGAATGTTCGTTATTAAGAAAAATGTATTTAACATATCTTATAACTCTTTCATATGATATTATGAAAAATGTGTTGCATGCTTATTTTCGTTTCATTTTTTTACTGCAGAGCAATCGTCTGTCGTTGTTGTCTTCTTATTTTTAGTCTCCAGTGAAACCGCGGCCAGTTCGTAGTCTTGAGAATCGCTCTCGAGCGCCCCCAGGATCTCGTGTTCCAAATCGTAAAGCTCGCGAGTCGTGAAGGGCATATACTTACACTGTGGGAGGCGGTAATGCTGAGATACGTTTCCTGCAGGCGCGTCTCCAAGTCCGATCGTAAATTGCAGATTTTCGTTCCTTTAGAAGACGCGTCCTGCTGCGGACGCCAGTTGGGGCAGTCCTTTCGAACTTTATCCCATATAAAGAAGGGAAAAAAAAAGATAAGAGGTGTGGAGTAAAGATTTTGTTCTGTAGTGGTGTGCCTCACGACTATTTGGATGAGGACGATGGTCTAGAACGAACTGTTGAAAGTAAATGTTTTAGAGCACAACCAAGAGCCTTTCAAAACCTTGTTTGTTTCTTGATTTAAATAATTTCATAAAAAATGGTCTCACAATTGTGGCCAATTAGTGCTGCGACAAATATCGAAGTAATAATGTCCGGTACACAGTATGTACCGTAAACATTTCCAACCCAGGCCCATCACTGGGATAAACTTCGACGACGTAACCCGGCAAAAGAACACCTTCTCGTTTTGTTCTGCGTCAGGAGTCAGAAGAACAGACACCGGAACCTGCATCTGTGACAAGATATGTCACGATATACGCTATATCTCCTTCCGCCAGGTGATCAAGAAGAGAAGTGTCTGCAGCGTTTCATCTTTCTTTCGCCTAAAATATAATGCACTAAAACGCAAACAGGTTCTCTGTTTGAGGTGATGTGAACAAGATATATTCATTGATGATACTATTTATATTCGGTTTCATTTGACGATGTAACGCAGTAAAGGCTAGAAGATTAGCTCATATCTTTGGCAGTTTCCCTAGCTGCGCCAGAGTTCCTGCGGCGCCGTTGAGCAAGGAGCTCACGCTTGTAACCGAAACTGCGGTGCAATTTAAAGCAGAGTAAACGGCCGCAGAACTCCATAATCTTGTGTTTAACACCCACCCCTGCCCGTTTCGTTGTTTCAATCTAGATTATCATCGTACCGGCGTGCGTTTGTGTATCAATACACTGTGCCATGCACGCTAAAAATCCCAGGCTATATAGCAGTGGTAGTACGCTGGCTAAATTTCTCATTTGTACCTGAAACGCTAGACGCCAACTGCGGATGGCTAACTTCTCGCTGTCTAAACCAACACATAACGCAAAGATTTGGCAGTTGCTACTGCTGCGCCCGAGTTCTTGTAGCCGGGGAACGTTTTTGAGGAAAGAGCTCGCTCTTGTAGCCTTCTCATGGGTACATCTTAAAACGGATTAAAGGTTGGAACATAATTTCAGTGTGCTTTCGTCTTTGAATGCATTCTTCTTGCACGAATACATTCGCAGCTCAACTACGAAGACCAGAGCGAGACGAACGAGTCCTTCTACGAAAGCGACTTCGACGGTTCGTCGGATGCTTCGGCGAACCAGCCGACGTCGTTTGTGGCAGGGACGTCGGACTCTGGCGACGACGTCGCCGTCGAGAAGGCGCCCGCCGCGGCACCCATCGGGGGGTTGTTCTACGAGCAGGACCCCACGGCCGTCGTCTGGGACGAGGCGCCGGACGTGTCCACGTCGGCCGTGGACGTGAGCGATGTGGACGGCAGCCGACTGGAGTACCAGGGAGAAGACCAGGAACCTCAAAGAGCTCAAGAGAGGGAGGACTCGTTGCAAGTGTCCGTCAAGTGCTTCGGGCTCTTTTCGTACGAGGTAGGTAGGCTTCTTTTATGAGCTTCGGGAATAGCAAATAATTTGCTGCGACAGCTTTCGGTGCCGCACTCCGGCGAAATTCGGCGGCGTCCATACTCAAAAACCTACGCGATCGCGGACCGCGCGCTGTATCGCTTTGTCCCCATCGTCGTCGCCCGTTGCACAGCACGTCATCGGTGAGATGCGCGATCGTCCCTTTTACCTCTGAAGAGAGATAAAGAGAGCTAACAGGGACAGACGACGTCTCTAGAGACGTCATCTGTCCCAGTTACTTTCTCTTCCACTGTAAACAAACTTTTCCTCCTTCTGCCCCAGTCTATAGGGTTAGAGTCATCATGGTAAGCTTCTACCAGCTCGCATGAGCTGGTAGACCGTAATTTCGTTAACCACTTTTCTGTCCGAAAACCATCCGGCGATTGCCGCAGGGCATGTGGCGAGCCTCTCTGTCGCCTGTTATGTGTCAAAGACATCGTAGCGTCATTGTCGGCGTCTCTGAGCCAGCTTAGGGGCGTGTGAGGGTCATCCGACACCACCGATGACGCCACTTTCGCTAGTTACTCCCCCTAGCTGTTCTACACTCCTGCGCTCGGCGTGCGGCAGTGGGTGGATCTACGACGAAATTTAAACTGGCAATTACGTCGCACCTACCAATAAAATCGAAAGGAAAACGCGCGCCCATGAGTTTTAAGATGCCTTCATTCAAACTTTCAACGGTTGTTTATGAATCAAGAAACATCCTTAGAGCTTCGGTGAGACTTCCTGATGGATAGGAAGCACTCACTATTACCTCTAGGGCACACTTTCATCATCTAGCGGGGTTTCTAAAAAGAAATTAATCGAATTTCTAGCGCGATTAATTTCTAAAAAGAAATTAATCGAAAATATAAATAAACCGTACTGAACGCAATAGAAAAAAAAATGGTTACAAAACTTCCAAAAGACGATATTTTTTTTTTTTTTTGCTTTCCAAATTTCTGGCGCCATCAGAATAATAACCTTTCGGCGGCTTCATAAGAAGTGTTCTATTCAGTCAGTATACTAGAACGTTACCACCGACATTGCCTTTTTTCTATTGGGGTTCCCTGTCCCTGAGGCTTGTTGGAGTGATTTTCATGCCTTGAGAATCTGTATGGATACACAAAAAAAGAACACGTATACGGTTCATTCATCTGCATATTTTCGAGTATTTCCCCTAGGGGCTAATCCTCAGGTATTGTCTGGCTCGGTGATATGTTTGCGGTCAATTGACTTATTTATTGTAAACTAGCTCGTTTTAAAATAAAGCTCATTCCTTATTATATTTATTTAATTTGTTTTCTGCATGCAGCCAGAGAATTCTTCTAAAACTCCTCCGGAATCATCTTTGAACAGTGGAGGCTTGTTATCAAGTATGAATTTGAATGCGGCCGACTGCTTTTCAACCTAACAGTTTACAATGGGGGAACAAACCTAGAACACCTGGCACGCTGGCGCCCTCTATCATGTACCCCTATAAACACATGCGATCTGCGTATAACCAGACTCGAGGTTTTGCTGTATTTGCGAGATATAATCTACGCACTGTCTATGAAAAGCGGTTGCTTATAAGTTAACATTGCCGGGATTATTCCAAGCACGTGATGAAAGAAAAATGCGAGTTAAATACGCAGAGTGGAATCGTTCCAGGGCTACGCAATAGATGGCGTCAGTGTGTTCTGTCGTCTTGAGCGGCCACGAGCTGTTGCGACGCAGTCCATCACACTCAAACGCAAATGTGTGAACAAACCTTAAAGGTTTTTATTTTTTATTTTTTACGGAGTTGTTTTTCTTGGACAGTAGACAGACAGAAGCATATCTGCAGTGAAAGCAATGTCGGGTGTTCCTGTTATATGTTTCCGTTTCTGTTTTTTGCTTTAAAAAGTAATAAAATAAAAACGTGTTTTTGGTTTACGAATTGAGGAGCGCGTTCCGGCGTTGGGATGATGGATCAGCTGTGAGAGTCCGGCGGCTATGCAGACGCAATCCCATCCGTCACGGTGTCATATTTGACGGGAAAATCCGCGTGAAACCTCGCGAACCGAACAGGACGCTGTTGCCTGACCCACCCGACTCAAATCCCCCTCTCTGGAGAAAAGTAACGCCATTTCTCCTTTCTGTATTATTTGCTTTTATCCCAGCTTCTTCCTTTCTTAAGGCTATACGCCGCCATGTTTCAGCCCATGGCGACGTTCGCGTCCGACCAGGTTTGATCTGTTCAAACTTTTGACATAAAGTTCGACAAGTGTTCTATTGGGGATGAAGTTGAGATTGAGAACGAGCTGAAGCCACCTGGCGGAGGAGGGTAGCACACTACTTAAGTCGATAAAAGTTGAACTGCTTGATTTTTTTTTTATTACGCGGACAATTTTAGTACTTGTCTAAATGATTAGCTGAGCTTCTTTCGGCATCTAATACTTCTTTCGCTAAATTTTTTATTATTTTTTTAAGAAGTCGGTCACATAGTTTTAAAATCAAACTTGGTTGATGTCGCAAAATCTTTGAAGGTTAGGCGAACCTGCTGAACCTCAGGTTCGACAAATGTTCGTAGCATCACTAATTGTAATTTGAAAAAAAAAAAAAAACAACAAAAAAAAAAAAAACAAAGGAAGTATTGCGCTTAGTTTATACGTTCCGCGAAGTAGTTGTATACAATATTTTGCCCAGTTCTGGAGTCCAATCAGGGCACGAAAACTGGGCAAAGTCTGATAAATTATGCTCACGTTCTGCGATAGGTGAGGAAGAGTGACGCGACGCTAGGCTCGTGTCTCTGACCACGTGTCAAGACAACGCGTGGTCTGTGGAACTGCGCGTCCGCAGATGGCTCGCGCTTTAAAAAAAAAGAAACAAAAGAAAACGGCTTTTTTGTTCTACCCACAAATTTCATGTACACTCACACAAACAGTGACATGTATTGACGGATTTTGTTTTTGTCAAAAAATAACTCGTGCTATTTGGACGACGCCCTAACAATCCCTGCAGTCTCGCTGCTTCTACGCCCAGGTTAATAACCTCTTGCGCGTATGGCGCCGCTAGTTCCCGGAAGCTTTGCTTAATGAGAAAGGTGTTGTTTAATTGGCGACGTGGATGTTTTTGTTTTATTGTTATTAGCACCACCTCGAGAAGAAGGTATCCACGTCGCTCTTGATGAAAAATACCGTCTGATGATTGGGTGCGCGTGGACAGAAAATAAAACAAGTACGTATAGAACAAACCGCTGTGAGATTTTCGGGTCAAACTCCTTCGGCTAGAATGCTTGGGGGTGTCGCCATTCTTATTCCAAAAAAAGTAAATAAATGATTTCCTTCCATTTGCATTCTTCGTTTAGGGCTGACAACAAGCAAATGGCATCGTAAATGTTTACAAGGTGTCAAGTTTTAATGCAACTACGAATTCCTCTATAGTGTCGGGAAATTTAGAATAAACCTATTTCTCTTTTTTTCTTTCTACACGCTTGTCATCTCGTATTTTTAGTTTCTATTTTCCACTAGGGAGTGTCCAGACGCGTCCGCGTGGGTCTGAAGAAAGACATGCTCGCCTTAGTCAAATCCTTTGTTCGACAACTAATAAACCATGATGTAGAAAGAACTCTTCAAGACACTTTCTCCCTTCCGTGGCATCGCTGTTTTGACTGACAACTATAGAACGTACGGCGCGACCTGCCACGAGCATCTTATATTATAGCTCCGCACCCAATGACATTAAGTGATAAGAACGCCAAAAAGCCAATCACGAAGCAAGGAACGTAAACATAATAAACCGCGACCCGCCTTTTTTAAGTTGTCAATCACTCTAACACTGTACATCAACCCTTCCTCGGGCCTTCTTTTATGAAGAAAATTCGCTTTGGTATGGTCTACACATAAAACAAAACTCTTGATCCTCAAACTTAAACGAAGTATTATTAGACACTTTTAAGTGGCGCAGCAATTCTTTGGCCCTCTTTCCATTCGTGTGTAATAAATACCTTTCTGGGTTCTAGACAGGTGCATTCGGTCGCTGCCTGACCAATGAAGGCAGCCAAGGGTGGAGTGGTCTTGAGCTAGCAGACAAGTCGCCAGGGGTCAGGGAGCTTTGAAGCGCCTCATTTCAGGTGTGCTCAGGTCTTTGACTTAGCACGCTATACTGTAGGTGGACACACGCATATTTAAAGGCCTCGTAGGTTGAACTATTTGAACAACGTTCGCACGGTTCTCTGCTTCGGATTCCACTCATTGTCTGTACGCTCTCCTGGTTTATGATCACGGACAGCGCTAGCCTCACCGCACCCAAAACTGATTTGTTCCCTTTTTGAGAGAAACTCTTTCGATGCTTGGCTAACCTTTTGGAAGGAAAAGGGTTTTGAGTTGTCTGGATTTTACGAATAGAGATAGGGCGTCTGAAATAGGAAGAAACCGCTTTCGTGGTTGAACCGTCAGCTGTGTGCGCTCACGTGGGCGGACTTCCGGCTCTATGGTTTTGCTCGTTCGTTCCCGCGCATACGGAATAAGCAGTCCAGGACACACGGACTGTGTTTCCTGTGTTTACACTTGGTGGTAACTCTTTCTTTATTGAACAAACAAAAAGAGATCTAAGACTAGCCTTTTAACTCTCTGCATGCGAGCGGCGTCCACGCGCAGCAAGCTTTTGACATTGCGGTTTCCTAGGGCTAGGACAAAAATGACCCCGCTAGAGATGGAATAAATCCCCCAAATCCTGTGGGCGGAACGAACCTGGCGCTCTGTAAACATAGCTGCAACAAATTGGGTATGGCCATTTAACTCTAGTCAGATTCCTTTTTTTTTTTTCTCTTTTCTTTTACAAATGAGAATATTAAACGTTTACACTTGTAATTTAGGATCGAAATATATTCTCGAATGGTTTATGCTTCTCGTTTTTTACGGGGAAAAGCAAAAACTCGTTAAAGAAATGCTCCTGCTACCAATTCGTCGATAGTTTAAAAAGGAATGAAGAAAATAGAAGAAAATGAATAAGCGATCAAAATG